TCGTCAACCAATTTTATTCTTTTTTCAGCATTCCAGCATCCTTTTCTCACTCCTATTATTTTTTGAATTTCTTTTAAATATTTTTTGTTATATGTTTTTGTATTTTCTCATTTTTATTTTTTTGTTTTGTGGGAACCCAAAAATGGGTAACAACAATAGCAATTTATAGTAATTTACGAGGAAAGCTATAGTGCTTTCCCTATATATTGTAAGTGTAATTCTAAACTAACTCAATATTTAAAAATAAAATTGAAAAAGATGATTTAAAAAAATCATTAAAAAATCATGTGGAGAAACATTGTAGTAATTCACAATATTTTTTTTAAATTACAAAATTAAATTCTCAATTAGCTAAATATTTAAAAAATAAAATTAATAAATAAAATTAAAAAATTAAAAAAAAACTAAAATAGAAAAATCATGTGGGAAAACAACGTAATAATCCACAGTATTTTAAAGAAAAACAATTACAAAGTGAAATTTTTAACTAACTCAACATTAAAAGCTAAAATTGACAAAGATAATTTTGAAAACAAAACTAAGAAAAAAAAGAAAAAAGGGAAAGCGTTGTAGGAAAAAAATAGAAAGTATTGTATCAATCTACAGTAACATGTGAGGAAAGCTACAGTACTTTCCCACGTGTTTTAGCTTTATATATAATAAAATAAAAAAAACATGTGTGGAAACACCGTATAAATTCACTGTATTTTAAAAGAAAAAAATTATAAGTTAAATTTTTAACCAGCTTAGTATTAAAAAGGTAAAATTTTAAAAATAATTTTGAAACAAAAAAAACAAAAAGAAAAGAGAAAAAAGATGATAGTATTGTAGCAATCCACAACAACATGTGAGTAAAATTACATTACTTTCCCCTCATGTTTTAGCTTTACGTATAATGGTTTTTTTCTCCTAACCTATTGTTTTTAAGTATATGGGATAAACAATAACAAAACCAAGTTCAATTAAAAAAAAAATCCCACCAAACTTGTAAATTGGAACAATGTGGATTACCCTAACAAATAAATAAATCATTTTAACCTTGTAAAAATGAAAAATTAAAAGAAATAAATTACAAAATTTAATTTTCAATTACATCAATATTAAAAAAATAAAAATTTAAAAAAAGTGAAAAAAAATTACAATTTTTTTAACCAGCTCAATATTAAAAAAGTAAAATTAACAAGATAATTTTGGAAAAAAACTTAAAACTAAAATAAAAAATAGAAAAGTATTGTAGAAAAAAAAAAAGAGAGAAAGTAATACACTATGAGTGAAAAAATAAAAAAAAAATGAAAGAAAACATGAAAAAAATACACCATGAATTACTATTATATTCCACAATGTATTGGATGTAAATAAACAATAAATTTCCAATGCATTTTAGCTTATTATTTAATAATTCATTAATTCTCTCTCAGAATTATTAGTAGTGATGTAATTAACTACTCTTTTTGACTAATAATCTTTTATATTATAAAAATATTATATTTTTAAAGTGTAACTCTTACATTTTTAAATATTACTATTATGCTAATAATTATTATTGTTACATTGGATATATTGACGATCTCATTTAGTAAAAAGAATAAATTAAATAAAAAGTTTAATAATCTAATTTTATGATAATTAGAAATTGAAATTGATCTTCATAAATTATATTTTCAGGTAAAAACTCGTTATGCTAAAAAAATATAAAAATTATTTTAGAATATTATATCTAAAATAAACTATATTATTATTTAATTTCAATAATAATACTTATGCATCTATGCTATTATTTCATCTAAATTAAATATTTATATTTATCGGAGATAAATTAAGCTTTACATAAAAGCCTAGCCCTCTTTTATATATATATAATATAAAAGTCAGTTTGTAGCAACCCACCGTATTTTTTTTTGGCTTGCCTAAGCAATTTGGTGGAATAATTATCTATGGACTTGATGCCCCACCATGAACTGACCTCTAACTCCAATACGCCTCTCTCTTTTATTTTATGTTACTTTTTATACACTAATCATGATTCATGACACAAAGGAACAAGTGGCAAAGTATTTAAAGGATTGTTTATTTGGAAAAGTTCGGGTTGGCTGCCCGAATATTGTTAAATCTGATCAAAAATTGATATAAATCACACTTTAAATGTATAAATTTGTATCATATACATAGAATATTTATAATTTTACTATATATATATATCTATGTATAATTTATTTTTTATTTTTTATTAAATAATTAATAGTATTCAGGCAAGGAATCCTCAAGTAGATACTTAAAATATGATGTTTAAAATATAAATATTTACATTTTTTATTTGATAAAAAATAAATAAAATATAAATATAACACAAATTCAACTTGGCTGTATCTATTGTCATCCTAAATTTTAATAGTCTCAAAATCAACTATTTAAAAACTTTCAAAATGTTGGGAATGATGGCATTAAAAAAATAAAATAAAAAGCATCATTTTTTCATTATAGCCCTAGACATCATACATTATAGATTGAAACAATAAAATAATCATTTTATTTTTATTTCATAAAATTATTAAATTGATTTTTTACTAAGTTCATTCATCATTGTTAAATTTATTAAAGACAAATAAATTTTTTATTTTTTTAGCACAATAAAATAATCATTTTATCTTTATTTCATAAAATTATTAAATTGATTTTTTACTAAGTTCATTCATCATTATTAAATTTATTAAAAACAAATAATTTTTTTACTTTTTTAGCATAGTAAAATGATTGAATTACTTTTTAAATCAAAAAACAAATTAAATTGGCTTCCAAGAACTTTTCAGTCATTTCATTTATTCTTCATTTATTCTATTATAGTAAAATGACAAAATTATTTTTAGAAGTATCGGCTACAAAACTCACTTTCAAAGGTTTTTTTTATCTTTTCAAGCAATCTTTTTATTTATTTTCAAGTTAATCAAGAGATTATTTATTATTTTAATAAATATAAAATATTATTATTTTTTAAATGATTGGCAAGTGAGCAAGTAAGTCATGTTCATACTCTTTAAGCGATGCATTAGACACTGCGAAGTGTCCAAACATTAGCTTTTATGATGACATTTGAATCGACATGATACCCCTTTTATGTTTGGGTGATTTATGTAGATTTGATTCTTATTCTTTATATTTTTTTATATGTTAGATTTGATTTTTATTTTGTAAATTACTATTAATTTTATTTAAGATAGTTTTTTAAGTTATTTTTTTTACAATTTCAATCTTCTTTAATTTTTTTTCCTATTAATTTTTTTTTATTTGCTTGAAATTCTTTGTTGCTAATTCAAATATGTTATATAGATATGCATCTAGTCACGCATTTATTCTTTTCAAGGGCTCTCTTCTTTTCTGATTTATGTTGTATAGACACGCTTCTCTATTACATCATGAACAAACGAAGAATAAACAAACAACACATACAATTAAAACAACACACACGTGAAGATATACTAAGTGGTAGCACGTGCTACTTTTACTATGATGCTTTTCTAGCAGCCTTGAAGAAGTTCTCAAAGTCTCTAATCTAACAAGTTGGAAAATATTTTCTTCTCGTATTTCTTTGATAACTTCATAGCGTCTTCTTTTCTTTTTAAAGACTTGATGTATCAACAAACCCTAAATTGAAAATTTATCAATTTCACAGCTTCAACATTGTTGAGATATTCATTAATGGAGTTGAAAAAACTGAAACGTTTTGCTTTCTACTTGAAATTTAAGCAAGCATAGAGAGTTATTAGTGATATGCTTACGTTGTTGAAAAGGATTGATTTTGATTTGGGAAAACCTATGGACTTAATCTAAAAACAAAAAGCTCTAAATTATTCATCCACTAATAAATAAATAAAACAAGTATTAGAATAAAGGGCATTTTCTTGATTGGATTTTGTTGATTTCTAATAAGGAATCTGGAATGACATCCCAAGGGAGATGGGTTTTTTTTCTATTTTGTTTTGCTTTTTTGAAATGATATAATATACACTAGTCATTCTAATAAGAACAAAATAAAAATGATAGTTTCGTTAAAAATCTAAAATCAAATCAATTAAAAAAACTTCTTGAGTTTTAATATTTTTTTTTGTAGAATTATTGATGGTGAAAATCACCTCCACTCATTTGTTATCTTAAAACGAAATCTATAGGTATCAAAATCAAAGTAATTAGTGGTTATAATCAAACTATTCAAGAGTTTTTTCTATGCTAATTTTTTTTTTAAAATTTTTGATAGCTTTCTTTCTCTTGCCTCAAGATTTAGGACCTGAAACGTAAAAGAGAAATTGGAATGAAGCAATATATAAAAAATACTAGGGAGAAAATATTAAAAAAAAAGATTATATAGATTAAAGTGTAGTTTCATGCGCACCAGGTGCTGTATATATTAGATAAAGGTTGTTAATTTTTATCAATATCAATTTTGATCCTGGTTCTTTTAATTTTATTTTTACAATAATTAAAATTTTAATTATATCAAATTGACCTATTATTTAATTTGGGAACAACATTAGACACACGATAACATGCAATCTAAAAAGAATTAAAAAATATAGGAAAACTACAACCTGACTTTTGAGTATAAATTGAAAGAAATCTAAAGTTCATTGAACATGAGCAACGCAGTGAAATTCCATTTTTTTTTTTAAGGTTTAGGTGAAGGTTGTGATTGTTTTTAAAAATTAATTTAAAATTAAAAAAATTAAAGAATTTCACCTTAATAGTGTTTGTGTGTCCCTTTCCCACTTTATTTGTTCTTTAATAAGATGAATGTTTTAAAGTCTGGTATTAGTATATTAAAATAATATAATTTAAAGTTAAAAAAGTAAAAGAATTTCACCTTAATTGAGTGTTTGTGTGTGTCCCTTTCGCTCCTTCTCTCTTTTTTCGAAGTGTTCAAACCCTTCGTAGTGAAGTAGCTTAATTGAGTGTGTGGGGGTCCCTTTCCCTCTTTCATTGTTTATACATTCATTCGATTCGATCTCCAATTTATCCTGTCAAGGCCAATAATGGAGATGCCCATCCTCTTGCCAAAGCATTGTACAAAAAAAGTATTTTGGTTGACATTTATGGTTTATACGTATATTCAATCTGGTTCTTCATTTACTAGTAGTAGTAATGCTCAATAAGGGATTCATAATAATGCTCAGCTTATTTTTTAAAATATTCATCGTTCAAATTCAGTCTTTATTTATTTTCTATAGATATTTTACTCCAGTTCTTTTCCCGCTTTATTCTTTCTTTCTATATGGTTCTATATATACATTCTCGCATTTATGTTGCAACAATATAATACCTTCAGAACAGAGCTACTGTTGCACGATCATCAACAGTTTTTAACTCTCAGGTATGATCGTCCCTCTACTGCTTTAATCATACTCTGTTTCTTCGTTTTTGGGTCTTAGTTCTTAGCTTAAATAAATCATTGTTACTAAAATGATCGACTTAAGCAATTCATTGCGACATTAGTTTATCTGGGTTGTTTCTTTTTTCTTTGTTATTCATGTTGTGGTCATCTGTGACTGGATTTTTCCTGCTTTCTTCTGGGTTCTTGAAAGTGCAGAATTTCTTTTCTTTTCCGGTAGGTTTCTTTCGGCTTACTTGTTTCAATAATGTGTTCTCTTTGGGCAGCCAGGCCACATACGTTTCCTGTAAATTTGATGGCTTACATTCCTCCACACAAGCGGCATTCAAAGGATGTGAGAACGGCATCCCCAATTCCAGAGACGCTGCACCCTCAATTTCAAAGAAATATGAATTTGAGAGCATCCACTTCTCGTAAAAAAAAGAGTGGAAAGATTGTTGATGCTGACACTACCATATATAAATGGTTTGCTGTTGGCTTGGACGAAGATGGCCAGTTTCCTCCTTACATCCATCTCGAGCCGATTTCCTTTGAATATTATGAGCGTAAAACTGGAGAAAAGTCTCTGGTCTTGGTGAATAGCATTGTAACTGAAGGTTGGTGTTCCATCCTTTTCTGTTAGTTGCTTCTTCCCTTGAATGGTGTTTGAGTTAAATGTTCTTGTTATAAATTTTGTATTAAATTTCATGCAATGAAGAGGATAGCAAACTGGAAAGGAATGGCTCCAGAAGTCCATGGGAGATTATTGCGGAAAACGTACTGCAAGAACTACTCTCTTCGTTCGAAATTTTGAGGAATGAAATGGATGATCAGGGTTCTGAAAAAATAAAGCCAGAATTGGTTGCTCGAGTTGGCAAACTCGCTTTTCGTGGGTGAGCAATCCAACTTCTCTCTATAGATATTGCAAATTGAGTTAATGTTAATTGGAACATCATCTTTTTTCCAACTTATGATGCCTTTTTAGATGGAAGGACACAGAAATCTGTTATGCAACTGAAAATTGCTTATGTTGTGAAGTTGCCTGGAATTGTCTTTGTTTATTCTCCATGACATACTCAATGAACTAAGGGAAGAACGTAAGCGTATAAGTGTTTGTTCCTCCATATAGGACCTCGACTGGGGTTAATATTTTGATTTGGTTTGTTCGACACCTGAGTGTATCATATGACTTGATTTGCTCTAGTGATTGCTTTGATCGCAGCCAAACAAATTGTGCTGGTGCTCTATCAGTGTAACGTAGATATTATTGATATACATATATTAGAAGCCATAACTGCCTATGTTAAATGAAACTCATATTCTCCATCTGTGCATAAGAAACATGTTTTATATTTCAGTTCTACAAGGATAAGCAAGCAAGAATTATTATACAAATTGTTTGATGCAGGAACTATTTAATGGGACTAGAAAGCGTCAATAAAATTCAGGTTGAAGAAGCCATTTTGAGACAACTCAACAGATCATTATACACAAACATTCCTTCTTCATATATGGAAAATATTATAGATGGAGTGGTCCCAGCGATCGGAGTTGATTATGAAGAGGAGAAAGATGTTTACATTGTAAAGGTATCCCTTTTGCTGCATACCGACTCTTGGTACTGTTTTTCTTATGTTTTTAATTCAATTTGTCACTAACTTTTCTTCCTTCAAGCAGTTGTCTGATAATACACGGCCAGATGCCACTATTTCATGTAAATGCAGTGTGCTGGAAAATAAAAAACTTCTGCTCTACAAGGCAGGTTTTGTAGAATTAATTTGTTTTTGGTAATTTGTGCTTTATCAGTGTGACATCGTGTAATCTCATGGACACCTTCTCATATTCACTTGAGGATTTAAAATGGTTTCCACTTTTATTCTTTTGCTTGTTCATGGAGTATTAAAGTATAAAGATTTCTTGTAGGTTAAGCTAAACAAAGTGCGCCAGCTGGTCATAGATGTATCATGTCTTGATAAGAATCTGGACCTCAGGCTAATGCTTAGCACCAGCAGGATCTTAACATCTCTAACTGTAAGTTAACATCAGAAATTTAGCTACAATCATACTGCATGATCGTTCGACACTCATTGAAGAATGAAACCCAGCAGAAACTTGTTAGTGAAAAAACTGAGCAAGCATCCTCCGTTTGTATTTTCTTCCAATTGCAATCTTAATCGTGTCTAGCCAGTGCTTTCTCCATTTCAAAGAATGTCATGATGGAAAATAGCAAGTAATCTTTATCCTAGAACTTAGTTTGATCACACCTAGAAGAGAAGATATGTAAAACAAGCATTGAGTAGGCTTGCACTAGCGAGATAGGTTAACAAGTCCAGAACAAAATTTAGAAGGTTAAAACTATCTTCCTGGATATTGGTCTTTCATGCTTGAAAAATTAATGATTTTCATAGTTGGAACAATGATTTCCCTAGATTTGCCTTGGAGGTTTTCATCTAGAGTCTAGACAGCGCAAAGCTGCTAGTGAGTAATTTATTTCCAGCATGAAAATTTTAGTTTATTAAGCAGAAGGCAATGATTTGGGATTGGCTACTTACTAACTAAGCCAGATTATTCTTCTGATAATCATATATACTGCTTAAAATATCAAAGCCAATAAACTTCATTGTGGTAGACACATATTCTGTTAGAGATATAATTGGAATTTAACTCCTGATAGTGACGCTGTGGAGTGACTGATTGTATGAATCGATGCAGGATGAGGAGATGAATAGCCTTAGAGATCTGATCAATTCTGCAGTTCTAGATTCAGATATGAAGGGTGGATTAAGATGGCCCCTGGGGGAGGAGGCATCTTCTGGTGGTAGATATAGTGTCATTGGGGTTTGGCACACAGTAACCAAAGCCTATACAAGTTCATCATTTAGGCTGATTGCAAGAGATGCCGATGGATACGATTTTCAGACTGGAACTGGGGAAACTCTTAGAGAGATTTATCTGAAGTTGAAAAGAATTGTTTCAGAAATACAGGCAAGTTCCTTTATTGGTTGACTTTTCCCTATGCCTCATGTTGCTTTGGCTCACATAAAACTTCTAATTTGTGAGCTTTCTAAGACCCTAATGAGAGCATCCAGAGCTGACAGATTTATTAAACGCCTCTTCAGTTAGTTGCTCTTTATTATAAATTATAAAGTTTCCAGATTCATGCCCGTGTTAAGCTGTGCTTTTAATATCTTCTAAAACATTTTTCTTGTATTTAAAGCTGCTTTTGTTGAATTATGAAGGAACCGGGAGCTGAAAGTGATTCAATCTCCAAAATGCTCGAGGACAGCTTAAGACTGATATGGGACAAGTTCTTATGCTGCGAACGGTTTCCAACATGATCATTCCAGTTTTAATTCTCTTTTCTTCCTCTTCAGCATGGAAAGGGGGAGAGCCCCATCTTGTCTGGATCGTATCCCATCTCGACGCGCTGTTTGCAAGTCCGAATTCTCTCCTCTCTGTTAATTCTAGGCTTCTTTACATCTCTGTTTCTTTCTTTCTTTGCTTTGCTTTGCTTTCTTTCTGTTATATTTGGATGGTTGGAGTGTTAGTTTTTATAATTAAACTTGAATAAAAAAACTGATTATCGTAATAGAGTTTTGAGAGTTTTATTTATTACATATTATCTGATTTAAAAAATATTAATGAAAGTGGTATTAAATATCTATATAAGAAATGTAAAATAAAAAGTTTCTTAATTTATATATTGTCACGATGCATTTTCTATAAAAAAAGATTTATGAATAAATACTTGTATTGGTTTGTACACAAAGAACCATATATTTTTTATGAAACCATGATAAAAAGGATAATTAAGTTAACTTCTAGTTCTAGCAACGTATAGAGATGTAGATGATAATAGTAATAATTATAGGAGTATAATTATAGATACAATGAGAATAAATCAAAATTATATAAATATATATATTCAATTTGATATGAAAAATCAAATGCAGATGTGGCAAGGTTTGTTTTTAAACATTTGAAAGATTATGATGATTTATTATGAGTTGGGTGCCCAAATCAAAGTAAATTATTAGTCATTGCACATGCGTTCACTATCCAGTCAAATTATGGGCAGAGTAAAGCCGGTTATGAAACAAATCATTGAATGGATATGAAGTATTTTCACTTGAAAGGAATAAGTTGAAAGAGAACTTTTATATTATTAAATCTATAATGGAACCCTTTGGCCCAGGAATACCAAAAATTGACACGTGTCCAAACTTTTACATGTTATACTATCTTGAAAATGCATAATTGACTAAGTGCAAAACATGCAGTTATGCTTGGTATAAACTCATAACTGGTAGGGGAAGAACTCTTCTCACATAAAGAAAAGTAAGATAATTCTCAATTACTTTTAGATTACAGAGATTATTCAAGTTTCCAAGAATAACTAAACACATGATATGACATCATTCATATAATGTGATGGATGAAGTCATGGTGTACATTTCCAATGGTAAAGCCTATAAACAATTGAATAGACTACATTTTAAGTTTTTGATGGAACTATGAAACATAAATGTTAGGTTATGTACAAACAGATTCAATCTATTCAAGTTATATTGTACATCATATTCTTGTTAGTATGTAATACTAGGGGTGAGCAAAAACCAAAAAACTGATTAAACTGAGAAAACTGGAAAAAAAATAACTGAAAAAACCAAACCATGAAAAAAAACTAATTAAACCGATTAGAATTAAAAAAAATGGTTTGGTTCGATTTTGATTTTATAAGCCTGAAACTAAAAAAACCTAAATCGAACCTTAACCGAACAAAAACCGAGCCAAACCGGAAAACAATCGAGCTAGTCGGTTTGAACTGTTTTTTTTTTTCAAAATAACTGAACCAAATCGAAACTAGTCAGTTTGAATTGATTTAAGAAAAAAAACGGGTTTTGGTTACTTTTTTTTTTATAAAAACAGAACCAAACCAAAAATGATCACCCCTAGGTTATAATAGTTTACAACTTGCTAGCGAGAATGTGTATGAGGACGGAGTTCACGTTCTTATCTACGGTCATACTTAGTCCCAATAATCAGGATAGGAATATAAATGTTTGTCTTTAATAGTTGATTAATGAGTTGAATCAATTGTGAAAACAAAGTTTTCAAATGAAAGCAGCTTTAATATGAACTATAAATGAAAGATGGTTTTTAGTTGGAGTATACTTAGAAAATTAGCATGTCCATACTATATGGAAAATAACAAAGTCTTCATCATACTAAATGGTGGTAAAGTGTTTTTTTTTTTTTCACTGGAGGTTCTTCACAACTAATCATAAGTATAGAAAGAACTAAAATGACTTTTTTATAAGTAGAGTTGAAAGGGATTTTGCATTGTCGGTACTATATAGTGAAGAATTGTATGACATGGATGTGAAGGGAAGACAAAGAACAACTTGAAGGCTAGAATGAATATACCTTTTTTTAATTATTATCGTAAGAATATGAAGTAGGTTTATGATAAGTCACGGGTCACAAAGTCCATAGTTAGTTTCGTCTTAGATAAGAATGCATAGTTAGTTGTCTACCAATATCTTAATAATCTTTATTTTTTTTTATGGATATGCTTTAAATATATATAGATTGGTGAATTTAGAGAATGACATATTATATGAAATGAAGAGCCATGACTACTATATATTTATGCAAATACTTATTCCATTTGCTTACCGAGATTTATTGCTAAAAAGGATATAGGATGCATTAACATAGATTAGTTACTTTTTTAAAGATATATAATATAACAAGTTGCAAACTTAACATACGAAAAAGATTGAATTGAATATAGTCCAAAAATGCTGTAAACTTGAGATTATATTATCTTCTTATTTCTTCAACTAAATGGAGCATCTACCTATATATGCATCGTTTGAGGAAAACATTAGAGACCCTATCTAATACAAATTAATGTATCCATTCGATAAGTTAGGTGTTACTAATGCATCCTAATTAAATTTCTATTGTATTGAAAAAAAATAAAAACATTTATTTAATTCCATGTAGATGTTTGTTCAACCTTATAAAAAAATTAAAAATAATTTGCATGTTGAGACTTCGATATGCAAGACATATATTGTCAAAGAGATGTTAATATTTATTTAATATCATTTTTAACCTCATTTAAGAGCAAGAATCAATTGCATTTCAAGACATAATGATGCTTGAGAATATACTTATATGTAGTGAGGAGAAGATACTTAATAGAAATACCACTACCATTCTAACGGTCTTCTAGTATATATTTCAGTTTACCTTTGACATTTTAAATGCCTCGAAAGGTTAATTTATAAACTCAAATTATTTTTGGATAATTGTTATAACATTATGAAATTTAGGAATTGTTTATTGTTTTGTATAATATTTGGATTCTTTTTGAAGGTGGTTTATGATTTATGTTTGGGTATATGTTTGATTTAGCATGAAATTTGAATATAAATTCATGAAATTAATAAGATTTGTGTGGATGTTTCGTGTTATTTGGTTTTAAGTTGGTAACTGATTAATTGTTTTAAATTGATATCGCAGTCAAAGTAGTCTTGATAAAAAAATATTTTATCTACATCTTGCCAAATACGTCATTCGTCGGTGTGTAATTTTAATGATCGGAAGACAATTTAGCAATTAAATTTGGGTTCCCCGTATTTTTCTACACTCACGTATTTAATATTTGGAATTGTACCCTGCACGTGAGATGCTTTTATATATTAAAAAATTGGTTCCCTTCTACAAAAACAACAACAAAAAATCTTTCTTTCAAAAAATATAATTTTTATTTAAATTGTGTACGACTAAGTCTCTCAAAAATAGATTATATATGTTTATAAAAAAATCATTAAAATATAGTTTTTACTATGCATATTTTTATTTATTTAATAACTAGTTTATTATAGCAATGAGAATTTGATCTATATTTTAAAAACACCAAAAAAAATTATTTTGTCTCTTTCAAAATCATTAAAAAATTATGTAAGATGTTTTCCCAATTTTAAATCAAAGAGTTTTTTTATCATTTATTTTATATGTTCTAAATTTTTACCAATTTTTTTTATTTTGTTTAATATTTGAGATTATGAACTTATATATAAGATGTATTTTCAGTATTAAATAAAAAGACTGTTTTTTTTTTTCCTTTTTCATGTTTTGGTTTAAAATGACTAGGTTTTAACATGATAAGATAGGAATTTTTTCATTGAAAAAGACTTTTCTTAAACTTTAAACAGACCAACGGTTAGAAAAATGCAACAAGATTTTAGTTTATTTCAGATAAATAACAATGTTCAGATAAATAACAATGCAACTTACTCTAAATGAGGTATTTTATGGGTGATATGTCCTCTTTATTCACAACATGTTCCCTTATTTAGACTTTCTCAGACCAATAGGTTTTCTGGTTATTGTAATACTATGTGACGACTTTCATTCTTTTGATTTCATTGATAAAGAGTAAAAATTCCTTGTTTTTTCCACCATACCTTTTCACGCCAATCCCATTTCGAGAGGATGATTGTTACGATGCCATGCATGTGTGACAATTATTATTATTATTATTATTATTATCATCAGCATCACTACTACTATTATTATTATAAGAAACTATTATCACTACTACTATTACCACTATTATTATTATTATTATCATCATCATCATCACAACTATAATTATCATTACTATTATTATCAAATTTACTACCATTTATCCTATTATCATTATCATAAAAAACTATCACTATCACTATCACTACCATCACCACCACCACCACTAATTTAATTATTATTATTATTATTATAACTAACATTACTATTATTTTTTTTTATCATCATCATTATCATAATTATTAATATCACTATTACTATTATTACTTCATTATTATTATTATTGAAAAAAATAAAAACCATGAACTTGATTTGAAGGATAAAATTTAAAATCACAAAAACTTTGATGAAAGGGGAAAAGAAAACAATAAAAAAGAAAAAAAAGGACCAAATTGAAATAATTATTATTATCATTTAAAAAGAAATGATAAACTTAATTTGAATAATAAAATTGAAAGTTATAACTTTGAGAAAAAAGGCAAAGAAGACAACAAAAAAAAAAGAGAGAAAAGGGACCAAATTGAAATCATCATCATCATTAAAATAAATCACAAACTTGATTTGAAGAATAAAATTGAAAGTCATAAAAACTTTAACAAAAAAAAAAAAGAAAAAGAAGAAGAAATGAAAGTAAAAAGACTGAATCGAAAAAAATAATATACAAATTAGATATTAAAGGTTAAATTGAAAAAAATAAAAATTTAACAAAAAAATAAAAAAATCAAAAAAATCAAAACTAAAAGGATTGAATGTGAAATACTAATAACGATGAGGACCATAATGCATTTCTAAGGATAAAAGAAAAAAACAAAGGAAAAAAATGGTCACTCGCGATAAACACAATCACATTTGGACAATATACACCACCTATAATAGAAAAGAAGACAATAAGGAAAAAAAATGAATTAATGAAAGCCCATTTTGACTACCAAGAGCCGTCATAAATGTCATTTAAAATGTGCGGCAGCTCACACGCCCCAACAATTT